TGAAGGAGCATCAGGGGAATATTCCTAATTTTTGGAGAAATCCTTCGTGCCTACAAACACCACACAGAGACAAAAGAAATGCAGTCTTTAAGCATTCAGAGAGTCCGCATAAACAATAGCACTGAAAGGCTGATGCAGGTGTTTTTTTTTTGTCGTTTACCTGTGTAAAACTGTTTTTATGAGAAGAAGCTGTAGAGATAGGAGAACCCAACGATCCCAATGATGGCACAGCACAATGTAATCATCATCTTTTTCTGGAGACGCAATCAGAAACACACAGTCAGACGACAAAGAGAGGAATCAGGCTTTACTTTGCGAGCCGACACAATTATCAACATTGATCGACACTGGTTTGAGGAAACAATTGAGCAAAAGCAGAACAAAGGGTTATAGAGGTTTGTGTGTAACTGTGTGTGTAAAGAGACAGGAAAGGTGAAACGACTTACCCCCTTTTTTGACACGTGTGCACCAGTCTTTAAAAGCTGTACTTTGCAACACTGTGGTTAACATGCTGACAGCAGCTACTACACTCCAATAAAACACACACACCACTTTGCAACAAGCAGTCATCAGAATGTAAAATTCAGTTGCATAATTCCATTTCTGCAAGTCAAACACGACAAATAAACACTGGGTAATTTAACACATAAAATCTTTAATTTCTGATAAAATCATTGACATTTACACAGGTAAAAAAAAAAAGCTTCAATTTTCTCTTATGTTCCAGTCTGCGCCAACGGCTCAAATAAAATGGATTGTGCCCCTAAATGATGATGATGCTGCGGGATTCTCATTTTCAAGTGCTTCATACAAAACCACAGTTTAAAATTTAATTCATGCTTAAATTACAACATTGTTTTACTGAAATCGGCCTACTCCCTTATGTCAGGGCTTCTCCTCATGACTGGTTGGTACTGATTTTATGTACGGCTGGAATCATGTGCTTTAATTACCCTGTTAAAGCCACTGGATGACAACCTGTGCACTTTGGTATGGTAAACTGTCAGTTCCAAAGATTGTCTGAAATGAAATGAATGAAATGATGATGGACAACCATTACTGAATCCAACAGGGAGGTACATGTTGCTAAAGCTAATGTGATCTAATACACAGCCCTGCAAAAATCCTGTCGTCTTTTTTTTGAAAATACAAGTTTTCTATGTACATTAAAATGACTTCTTTAAATAAAAAAAGGAGGTATAATGTTCATTTTAGTTGAAATTGTTCATTAAGACTCGATGGGCTTTTTGGAGGACGTACTTTGTGGTGCGGATGAACTGGTAACAGTAAGAGGTGTTTGTAATATTGTCCCCACCCCCCACATTCACTAATGAGGGCAGTCTAAATGTTAGACACACCTATGAAGTAAAGAGCAGCACACATACAGCCTCTGTTAAAAATGTCAAACCATTACATCCTAAGGCTGTGTAAACAAAAACTGAACATTATCACCTTCGCAAACATCAGATGTACTGCAGGACTGTGTCTAAAACTGGCAACTCAGTAGTAAAACCTAAAACATGCCTGTTAAGGCATTTCCTAGTAGTAAGACAAGACTAGCCATGGATACTTTACAGAGTGCCCATTTGTATGTGACGTCATAAGCAACATGTCTTAGAACAGTAGAATAAATACAAAAAGACTATTCTGGCACTTACGGGAAACAAACCACTAGTGTTACTACCAGACTCTCTAAAACTCCTTTGGCATTGAAATATTTCTACAGCACTTTAACAGGAGGAGTAACTGTGTCTATACATGTAAAAGCTTTGGTTTGGGTTGTGAAAAGGATCAAATTTCAGCTGCTACAAGCAAGCAAGTAATGAGCGTTCATCACACGCGCCTGTAAGTTCATGAAATGTGTTCCCATAAGTGCAATCCTTCATATTTGTTTTTGTTTTTTTAACAACCAGTGATAATTACACATATCTGAGCTACACATTTGGAAATGTTAAAGTGCTGGAACTCCCCAAACCCTAACAAGAACAACAACAAAAAGAAATCCCACAGCAGTGAAAGTTCACTGGGGAGATTTTCAATCATAAAATCATATCAAGGCTCAAATAAATCAGGGGGTTTATGTGCTTCTGAAAGCTTTCAGATGACAAACGCTTCCCAGCTGATTCTTTGGCAGCAAATGTTGAACAGTGAAATGTTTAGTGACACTGAAGTGATGTTTTGTTTCCCAATTCCCTTTTCGCCTTCACAGAGGTACAATAGACAATGTACCTCATATGTCAGCTTTGGTCTTGTTTCCTCATTCGCAGGAGAGCATCCTCAATTGTCCAAAAGTGAGGGAAACCTTCAGTGTGTTTTATTCGATTGAAAAGATCTGCAGGTTAAATATTCTTATACCCATATGGAGTGATCAGGATCGGTTTTTCCTTCTGCAGGCAGGCTGATGAATAATGGTGAGGATGTTGAATACACAGATGATGAGATGATGGCAGCGATCAGCCCTATAATGTCTGGGTGAGGATGATGATGAGGATAATGAGAAGAACCACGGCACAGACCACAGCAATAATGATGATCTTCTACAGAGAGGGAGAAACATACACAGAAACAGTGTTGATGATGGGATACCTACAACTGAAAAGCACCCACAAACTGAACACCAGCAGGAACTAATTCGCCACTACAGTAACCAGAGGCAAGAGGCCCAGAACAGGAGAACAACAACACACCCAAAGTACTTCAAACAAGCACACACACCTCGAGTAAGCCCTCTGGATAGTAAGAAAACACACACTGAGCCTCAAAAGAAGTGCAAACTCCTTCCCAAAGCATGCCTAACAGACACACACCCATTATACAGCAGGTATTTGCTCAATTACTCACCCGTAACGCTTCTCTTACTCAAATAATTCATCATCATTTCTTTAATCCCACTGACAACCCGATTGCCAGAGCCACTATGATCACCAAGATCACCACAATCACAATTATTATCACCAGTTTCTGTTGGGGACAATTAGGACATAAATTATCAGATCCAATATCAGTGTAAAAACAGCAGGACAGCAGGTCTTTACTTGACAACAGCAGATGTATCAGATAACATCGATTACTCTTGAGGCTTATTTACCACAAAAACTCTGCACATTAGTATTGCACAAGACTGAAACAGGGTCAGGGTTGATTGTCTGTTGTCCTGAAAATACAACAGTTTGCCTTTGCACACACACACACATAATCTGTAACAGCCAGAAGCAAGCACACAACATCTCCAACCCTACAACACAGCAGCGGTTGTGGTTACAGCCTTCATGTGTAAACTGCACATCAACACAGTGAGGATGAAGCTGAAGAGAAAGGACAGGACAGAAAGAAAAGAAGCTCTCTGTGTGTGTGTGTGTGTGTGTGTGTTGGTGGGAGGGAGG